GAGTACTTGCTTGAGGATGGAGAGCTAAATAGCATGCAGACCAACTCAAGACCACCTTCCTCATTTACATTCTCTCAGGAGAAAATCGCTGCATTTTTATCGTAGAACACTGTAGAACTTATGTTTCATCTATCAAAGTTATTTTTGGTCAATGTCTATTTCAGAAATATGTGTTACATCTCCAACCTCAATACATTTTAAACAAAATTATGTTCAGAAAGTCTTGACTTCTATTCCAAATACAATAGGAATAAGAATGTCAGGATCTGGCTGGGCACAGTGGCTTATGCCTATAATCCCAGCACTTTGGGAGAGCAAGGCAGGTGGATTGCTTGAGGCCAGGAGTTTGAGGCCAGCCTGGCCAACATGGTGAAACTCCACCTCCACTAAAAATACGAAAGTTAGCTGCTCATGGTGGGGCACACCTGTAATCTCAGCTATTCAAGAGGCTGAGGCATGAGAATCACTTGAGCCCACGAAGTGGAGGTTGAAGTGAGCTGAGAACATGTCACTGCACTCCAGCCTGGATGACAGAGTGAGACTCCGTCTCAAAAAAAAAATAGAATGTCAGGATCAAGTATCAACAAAGGGAGGTGCCCTATGTTACTGCACACAAAGCAACTGTTTGCAAACAACCAAGTACATGGTTTGGTGGTCCTCAAGTGATGTCTTACGCACTTTATGCTTAACGGGATTGGGTAATTATATAAGGTTATCTTCCTGTGTTTCATCGCGCTTTCAGAAACTGTTAGAGATTTTGCATCGCTGTGCAGTGGGTTGCTATAATTTTTCCCACATGAAATAATGAGATGTATGGTGTTGCTTAGTGTTTTCATGCAGAATGTCTGTTTTTCAGGAATAGATAACTGATGTTAATCAGAATATGCCTATGTGCAAAACCCTCAGAGGAGGAGCAGGCACAGCAAATGCTCAATATGTCGGCTATTACAAGTAGCAGTATTACTTCATACTTTTAAGAACTGATGGACCAGATACAAACCCAAGGCTACAAAGAGGTAAGGGAAGGAGCTGGCACTCCTCACCTGCTTGTCTAGAATGCTGCCAGCTGCCCGGGAGATGATGGGCAAATTACAAGGTTGTGGGAAGTGGTTTGAAATAATTTGATTGAGGCATAATTTTTATAATTTAGAATGATAATTAAGGGGTATAAACTTTTCTTCTTTTTTGAGACAAAGTCTTGCTCTGTTGCCCAGGCTGGGGTGCAGTGGCATGATCTCGGCTCACTGCAACCTCTGTCCCCGGTGTTCAAGTGATTCTCATGCCTCAGTGTCCCACGTAGCTGGGATTACAGGTGTGCACCACCATGTCTGGCTAATTTTTGTATTTTTTAGTACATACATTGTTTCACCATGTTGGCCAGCCTGGTCTTGAACTCCTAACTTCAGGTGATCTGACCCCTTCAGCTTCCCAAAGTGTTGGGATTACAGGCGTGAGCCACCACGCCCGGCTAGATATAAAATTTCTTAACCACCAAGGCAGAGAACCCTAGCCACAGGTCCCCCACATCAGTAGTCTTATCACCTCCCACTGTCCCACCCACCCTGACCTCAATCAGGGGTCTTTCTGACCAGCTGACTCTTCTCCCTACCCACTTTCCACCTCATCCTGTACCATCCGAACCCAGGTCAGCGCTGCTAGACAAAAATGCAGGTGAGGCTTGTGTCATAAGCCAAGGGACCCAGTTCTGTTCTTTTGGCAAAAAACCCACTGGTGAGCTATTGGTAACATCTAGTTAGGGTGGTGCTTCTGAGACTCTTGAGAATCTACTAACACTGTCCAGATCCTATTTGCCAAATTGGAGAGAGGAAAATGGTTCTTCCATAGATGCTGGTGAAACAACAATGAGGAGAGCCTGGGAGAATGTGAGAAACAGGCACTAACACATCGATGGCTGGGAAGCACACCAGGACAGGCTCTCCACGGGCAACATGGAAATACTCATCCAAAGTCCTAAAAGCCTCTCTACTCTTCATCCCAGCTAGCGCTGCTTCCAGAACTGTAGCTGGACAAAATAAGAGCATGCAGAGCAGCACAGCCAAAGAACACACTCTCAGATATATCAAAATGGGATAAACCAGTTCATACTATTTTATAACTTCTGCAACATGATGGTAAAGGTTCACCCCTTCATGTCATTTTCGAATCTGTGCTACGTAATTTCAAGGGCCTTTTTGCTGAATAAGACCTATTAAAATTGATACAAGTAACATTGTTGGACATGTTCTATTTTTAACAGGAAAAACTGGAAGCAACCTAAATGTCCAACAACTGGGGACTGGGTAAGGCTGCGCAATGGGAGGCTCCCAGTTTTGGTTTGTGTACCTGAGGGTGCATGCGCACACAATGAGGAGGCTGCCTCAAAGTGAATGAGGCAGTTTGCTCATAGATAATTTTTTTCCATTTTGGTTATATTTATTGCCACTTTTTCTACAATAACCATATGCTACTTAAAACATCTTAATTATTAACTTCCTTCACTCACATTGATAGCCAGGGAGAATGCCCAGAAGAGAGTGTGTGTGTACATGCAAGGTGTGCAATCATCACAGATGAAATGGCAGTATCTGAGGTGAGCCCTGGGGCTAACATGTCTGACTCCACGTCATGCCTATCTGTGGGGATGTGGAGGAGGATTTGGGGAGGCTCATCAGCCCTGTCAGTTACACATTCCAGACAACAACCCGTAGTTCCTCATTTGAATCGGAAATATAATGAACACCCACACTCACCCAGGGTGTGTAAACACATCATTGGATCTGTCTACTCACATTTTTGGCAAGAAACAGTGGTGGCAAGATTGGGGTCATTGACCTGGATTCTGGTATCTGAGTGGTTCTTAGAAAGCAACCAAATTGAGGTTGTCAAAAGGCCGTAATCCCAAAGTAACCAGTTTTTCACTCCCAGAAATAGGAGAGTTGGTGGGGATACCTAAGTCACACCAAGACACAAACTTTCCTTTACTCTTCAGCTCTGCAGTGACACCAGGTTCATTTTTACTCTGCTGAGTATTTCCTTGTTAAGAGACTTCCCAGATTTATAAAACAAATCCACTGTGCCAGGACTCTGGCTTTCTCTATCTTTTCAGGACAGACTCCAGGAACTTCTCAAAGGCCTTTGCCAGCTAGATCCTCAAGACTACAGGCAACTGCTCCAACCACAGAAACTCTCAGTTGAGCCTGATGTGGCCTCAAAGGGCCGGTTCCTAAGACCATAGGGAGGAACTTAAGAAAGCGAAAGGGAAAGGTTCTAGGCGCATATATATATATATATATATATATATATATATATATATGTGAGACAGGGCTCAGCCAGTCAAAGACTTCCTGGAAGGGACTCCATTGGAGCTACTCATGACCAAAATAGCAGCCTCCCCAGATCGCAGGGAGAAATGAGACCAGGAACAGAGGCTCTCATTATTAGCAATGCCTTGATTTACACCCTATTCGACTGGAGGAGTTCTCTACTGTTATCACAGAAAGCCAAAAATATCTCAAACAATTCCCACATTTTCAATACAGCTCCAAGATTTGTAGGCACACATTTTTCTCAGCACACATTTACACATATTTTCACTTCCCTTTTATTCTTAAACTAATTATTTTTTATTCAAAGAGAATCTTGAAAATTCAGTCCTAAGAAATTATAGTAAAAATTCATTGGCCAGGTGCAGTGGCTCACACCTGTAATCCCAGTACTTTGGGAGGCTCAGGTGGGAGGATCACTTAAGCTCAGGAGTTCGAGACCAGCTGGGTAACATAGTGAGACCCTGTCTCTAATATATATGTATATATATATATATATATTTCATGCCGTGGTTTAAATGAGGTTTTAAATTTTCTATTATGCAGCAATATGTCACCTGATGTTGAAGAATGAACGAGGAAGCATTCCTGGAGCTGATATTGATATTTTACAAGCTCCTGTCTTAAATTTGTAATGATAGCAGTCACCGGGATGCCCAAGTTCAACCTCACCTGCGTCCTTTATCCCTTAATCTAATTTACCTACCTGAAACACAAACCCACCTTAAATGCAGCAAAGGGAGTCAAACCCGCACGGCTTCTTGGAGCACTCTATTTAAAAAACACAAAACCTGTACTAATCTCGCGAAACCTGTACTAGCTTCACATCAAGTTCTTACATGAAGAAACCAGGTTATTTACTATGTTCTATACTTCCAGGGCCCACAGAGCATTTCCTGGCTGACACAGGTCGCTGGGACGTGACGGTCCCTTCCCCCAACCGGAACAACTCAAAATTTACACACATCCCTGGAACAACAGCCTCCTGCCGTTCTCCACCGCCCACAAGCTCGAGGGGCGCGGGAATGTCCAGCCTCAGTGGCGGCGCAAATGCCTGGCGGCTTTCTCTGGGACGCCTAAAAGAAATCTGGGCGCTTTCACTTTCGCATTAATACTCTTCAACTTTAGGAGAGGGGAAGGCAGCGCGCGGACGGGAAAAACGGTATCTGGTGGGAAATTCGACCCTGAAAGCACTTTTCTTGCATTTTCTCCCTGGACCAGGCGAGGAGGTAGAGGGCCAACCTGGAGAGAAAATATCTCTTCCACACCCTGCCTGAGTGTCCTCAAGAACCCCGGCAAAGACCCCAGGGCGCACGGCGAGCCATGTTGGACCTATCGCCTGGGCTCGGCTCCGGGACGCTCTTTTCCGCCTTCTCGGCCAGCACCGGGCTTATCCTCCAGGACCAGGAGCCACCCGGATCGGGGACAAGCTCACGTGCCGAGGGCAAAGTTGATTCCAGGAGGGAAAGGCCAACGCGCCCGACGCGGCCCGCACAGAAGCCGGACAGTCCCTGGGACCCGGAGCCACCTGCGCGTTTTGACTTCGCCGCCCCCGCCCTCTCCGCACCCTCGCACCCTCGCACCCTGCGTCCCTCCGCCGCATCCCCGCCGGGACTCGGCTGGCTGGCTAGCTCACGACTCCGCGCCACCCACTTCCATAGCCCGCCCGGCACTCACCTGCCCCGCGCGGCAGGCGCGCCGCCCCCAGCAGCAGGACCCCTAGCAGTGCGATCGTGACCCCGCAGTTCAGGCCGGCCATCGCTTCGGGACGCCTCGGTCTCGGTGGGGAAAGCGACTGTGACTGGTGGTTAGGAGCGGCGGCCGCAGGCGCCCAAGCCCGGCGCAGCTGCGCTCCGCCTCGGCTCACTCACCTGCGCGCAGGCGGACCGGCCCGACCCCGCCCTGCGCAGCAGGAGCGCGAGCTGACCTGGCGCGTCCCTCCTCACTCTCCTCCTCCTCTTCCTGCCTCAGCCACCGCCTCTCCCGCCCAGAGTGCAGGGCTCCTGGGGTCGGGTTGCTGGGTCCCCTCTACTCCCCACTGTGGCTTTAAGGCGGACTTGTCCCCATCCTTCCCGGTTTAATCCTCCTTCCCAAGTCTGAGAATATCAGGTCTTTGTCCAGAGTCACGAAGGTCGCCCATAGAGGAAGCCAGTCTACCTTCCCTTTTCTATCCAGGAGACAAAGTCGCCTCGTTTTGGCCGAGAATCATATTTGGCGGCCACCCAAGCCCTCGATACTCTGCTACCTGACTTGGCCAGAGGTCTGCTGGACTTTAAAGCCGGTGGTGCCACAGCTACTCTTTGCAGGAGAGTGAAGGCTCACTCTCAGCCTGCTCCACACAGATCACCTGCAGTATTTCCAGACAGATAACCTGGGTCCCCAGGGTAGCTAGTAAATTAGAGGCAGATACGCCCCTTTGTTGAATTGTGAGTAGAGTAGTATTTGTCGCTTCACTGAGCTGTGGATGGAGTAGTATGTACCCTTCTCGAGTTGTATTATAAATGGAGTAGTGTGTGCAGTGTGGGTGTGAAGCATTCAGGTCAAACGTTGGGCTGTCAAATGAATGGAAAATGAATGACCCTGGACTCCTTTTCCTCCCAGCAGCAGGAGTGCCACCTGTCTGTCTTCAGAGGCCCCGTGGGTTCTCCTTCCACCCTGCAGGCCATACACCAAGCCCAGCCACAAGGAGAGATTGTGAATGGTTCAGGATTTCTTAGCTGGCAGACCTCTGCCAAAATGACTCCCTGGGACTACTTGTGTTCATGGGTAGCCAGAAGCTGGGCCAGGGTCACCCAGAGCAACCTGGGAGGCTTGAGACAGGAACCAAAACATATGCCACAGCCTCCGTTTACACTCTAGTCCCAAAGACAAAAACTTTCCTTTACTCTTCTGCTTAATTCTTGGGGGTGGGGGTGGAGGTGGGGGTGGGGGGCGGGGAACTGAGCCTTTCCAGGCTTCCGCAATCGTTGTTGTGAACAGGGATGGGAAATCATCTCCCAGGAGCTTCACGCCTTCCTTCTCCGTGTCCTTAATCATGAGAATAGAGCTAGCTCTGCCCTCTGGAAGCCCACAGTCCATCAAGGGAGGCAGAACTTGGAACACGACCCTGCCCACACTCCCACTTCTGGGAGGGCCTGTAGTGTGAGCCAGAAGGAACTTCGATTATCTTCTAGTCCGCTGCTGTCCTCTTGCAGACAGACGGGAAAACTGAGAGCTACAGGGAAGGGAGAGGATGAGAAACGGACGGATGCTCTTGGTTCCCCCTACTGAATCAAGGACAAATTCACTGAGAGAAATAAATCTTGACAAAAGTCTAAACACTCTTTAAAAATATTTATGCTGATCAGGAGGGTGAAAGCAGATTTGTCTTTTCTCCTAATTCTAAGCAGGCATATATACCCCAGCATCTTTTCTTAGCATCTGTAACACCATTTTCCCACATAAGATTAACCACCATCCCAGTACTAGAATGGCAGTGTATTGAATGCAAAATATCAGAAATGCTGCTTGACAAGTTAAGCCTAAGGAGCAAGTTATTTCGTTACTATTTTGTCTCTCCAAAGTTTGCTTAACTGTCTTTCTTGGGATAGTAGATACCAGCTACCTGAGAATGGGATAAGAGTCACTGATTCCCAAATATGCAGTATTAGTGATGGTTCCAGAAAGTAGCAGCAAAGAGAAAGAAGCAAGAAAAGTAGGGAGTCACTTCAGCATCCTTTGCATGACAACCCGACTATATAATTGAAGTAAAGATGTCCTGACATGCTGTTCTGGTCCTCCAAGTGGATGTGAAAAAGCATTTCCAAGGATGGACGTGTTTGTCTTTACGAATATGGCTGAAGGGAAGGAGTAAATTTTAAAAGGTTATTTCTGAACTGGAAAGCAATGTAGGTAACTATAACCTAGTGCTAGAGAAAAATGACAGATTGAAAGGTGAGTTTTCACCGAGTGTGGTGGCTCATGCTTGTAATCCCAAGACAAGGGAGGCCAAGGTGGGTGAATAACATGAGGTCAGGAGTTTAAGACAAGCTTAGCCAACGTGGTGAAACCCCATCTCTACTAAAAATACAAAAATTAGCCAGGCGTGGTGACAGGTGCCTGTAGTCTCAGCTACTCTGGAGGCTGAAACAGGAGAATCACTTGAACCCGGGAGGCGGAGGTTGCAGTGAGCCAAGATTGCACCACTGCACTCCAGCCTGGATGACAGAGTGAGACTCTACCTCAAAAAAAAAAAAAAAAAAAAAAAAAAGGAGATGAGTCTTAAAACAGACTATCCCATCTAATGTTGACCTCTTCTGAAACCCTGCAAAGGCTACAAAACAGGAATTAAAAGAAAAATACATAAGCCCATAAAGGTGGGGAGAACAGAGAGAAGACAACCACAAAATCACCCTGTAGACTTGCAGCTGCCTTAGGATCCTAGAGATGGCAGAACCCTAAGCCAGTAGTGGGGAAAATTGAAAATAACATGTTTAACATGGAAATCCTCAAAAATATCCTCGGGAAATGGCAGCACAAGGTATTCTGGAACTGGAGGGTGAAAGAGGAGTTAACACAAGAAAGGCTGGGAGAAAGTTTGAGAAGTACTATGGTTAGATCCTGGAACCTATCCACCATTACCCCTGTCTGGGCAACAGCCTCTCGCCCATCCAGCTTGCAGTGTCATTCTTAAGAGATCCAAATACATTCTCATTTTTGTTTTTTCTGTGAGACCATTTTCTTGCCTCTAATACTGTAGAATCTTCTTTTTGTTCATTGGTTTCTGAAATTTCATCATAATGTGCCTTGATGTGAGTCTGACTATACTATCCAACTTTAGATCTTAAAAAATTAGAGGGTGGGTAAGTTTAACAACTTTAGTGTTGCTTTCTTGAGAAATTAAAACCTAGGGATGAGGGCTGAGGGATGCCATGCACAGCTGAAGGCATAGGAAACATTGTAAAAGTAGGTTGATAAAGGGAAGAAATGCATTCTGAATGCTGAGATCCCCAGCTATCTGGCCCCAACCTGCCTCCAAGGATGAGACAAAAAGGGCTTGTTATCCATATTGGGGATGGAAAGAGTCTTCTGGGGAATCTGACTGGGACAGGAGAAAAGACCCAAACATATGAACATACGACTCTCATAAACAGGCTAACCAGCTTCCTACCATGAGGCTTTCAGTTGACTAAGCCCCACCAACTTAGTTTTTTAATCTCTCACTTTTATTTATTATTATTATTATTGAGATGAGGTGTTGCTCTGTTACCCAGGCTGGAGTGCAGTGGCATGATCTTGGCTTACTACAACCTCCACCTCCTGGGTTCAACTGATTCCCCTGCCTCAGCCTCCTGAGTAGCTGGGACTACAGGCGCCTGCCACCATGCCCAGCTAAGTTTTGTATTTTTAATAGAGACAGGATTTCATCATGTTGGTCAGGCTGGTCTTGAACTCCTGACCTCATGTGGTCCCCCCACCTCAGCCTCCCAAAGTGCTAGAATTACAGGCATGAGCCAGCGCACCTGGCCAATAGCTCACTTTTAAATATGAGCAACCAGGATTTCAGGATATCTGTGGAGAGCTTCTAACATAATAGAGTCTAAGCCAACCAAGTAACCAAACTGAAAAAAAAACAAAAGAAGCAGCAACCTGAAAGAGAGACCATACAAAAAGAAGAAAATAAAAGGAAGCAAAACAAAACAATTACTAACTCTCTTAGAGTGATGTAGGCAACTATAATTTGGTGCCAGCCAACATTCTCTCTATGCAGCAGTAACAGCATGTCATAAAAAGAAAAAAAGAAAGAAAGAAAGAAAGAAAAGAAAACAAAAACAAACAAACAAAAATGATTCAGGGAACCAAAAAAGAATTCTTGGAAATGAAAAAAAGTGATTGTAGATTTAAAAAAATAATAAATAAATAGAAGAATTAGAGGTGATCCCAGAAAGTAGAGCAAAAAGACAAAGAGATAAAAAGTATGAAGGAAAAGTTAAGGAAACTGGAGGTCCAGTTCAGAAGATCCAACATTTGAAAAATGAATTTCCTAGAAAGAGAAAGCAGATGAAACAGAGGAGAAGACATCATCAATAACATAATTCAAGAAATTCCCCAAGCCTGAATGACATGAGTTTCCAGATTAAAAGACTCATGGAGTGTCCTGCACAATGGATAATATAGGCAGACTCACATTAAGGAACACCACAGTGAAATATCAGAAACCAATGAACAAAAAGAAGATTCTAGGCTGGGTGTGGTGGCTCATGCCTGTAATCCCAAATAGTCAGGAGGCTAAGACATGAGCATCACTTGAACTTGGGGGGCGGAGGTTGCAATGAGCCAAGATTGCACCACTGCACTCTAGCCTGGGTGATGGAGTGAGACTGTCTTAAAAAAAAAATCAAACAAACAAAAAAGAAGAATCTGTAGCTTGCAAAGGTAAGAAAAGGGTCTCACAGATAGAACAAAAATCAAAGTGTTTTTGGATTTCTCAAGAACAACACTGGAATCTGGAAACCAATGAAGCAATACCTTCAAACTTCTGAAGAGAGTTAACTTCCAAATTAGAATTTTATACCCAGCCAAACTACCAATTAAGCAATAAGATAGAAAAGGGGCAATTTTTTTTTTCTTTTGAGACAGAGTCTCACTCTGTTGTCCAAGCTGGAGTGCAGTGGCATGGTCTCAGCTCACTGCAACCTCTGCCTCCCATGTTCTAGTGATTCTCCTGCCTCAGCCTCCTGAGTAGCTGAGATTACAGGTGCCTGCCACCACATCCAGCTAATTTTTTGTATTTTTAGTAGAGATGGGGTTTCACCTATTTGCTAGGCTGGTCTCAAACTCCTGACTTCATGATCTGCCTTCCTCAGCCTCCCACAGTGCTGTGATTACAGGTGTGAGCCACTATGCCTGGTCAAAAATGGACAC